AAAAAGGAATAACGAAAAGTTGAGGTATGTTTTGATAAATAATTTAGGTAGGAAAAATGAATATCTGATAGCTCAAGTGAAAAGACTTTGATACTTTTAATGTGTTTTTGATCATTATAATATCGTAATTTTTATTTGCTTTATTATATCTTGAATACACCCTCCCACGATCCCACGAGCGAGTCTGATTATTTTTATGATAATGATTTAAGCACATGAAAATTCGTTCCTAGTAATACCACGTGATAATCTAATCTTAAAGTTTAAGCGGTTAAAAGTAACTATATGTTGAAAACTATGAACCATTCTTATTTTATTCTACTAACAATATTTTTTTTGGTGTTTTAACACTTTGATAATTATAGAGAAGAAAGAAGTTAGCATTAGAAGAGATGTGGGAACACAAAGCATTTCAGCTTATGTAAGTTCAAATAGTCCAAGTCCTGCTCCAACTCCATCAATTGAAGAAATGTCTATGAAGCTAAGTGAAGCAGCTGACTCTTCACCATCCATTAAGGAAATATCCTCAGATCACTCTCCAGTCACTAGTCCTAAATCAAAATCTGAACAAGAGGTAAGAAACTAGTTACTTTCTCCGTTTTATTTTACGTGGTACTTTTAAAATTTATGATAGTTGTGTAGCTGTACATCATTTCAACAAGGATGAAAGAAGAATTTTTTAAAGTTAAAAATATTTTCAAGTATAGTAAGGTAATATTTTTTTTTGTACGGTTAAAAAAAATGTCACATAAAAAAGGACGGAAGGAGTAAAATATTGAGAAGTCTGACCAATTCTGTTAATCATGAAATGTTTGCATGGTTTATCAGCCTTTAAAAGAGAAATTATGCCTACATCATTTCATCGAAAAAATCTTTCCCCCTATTAAAGTTAGGTGCTCCCTCCGTCATATTTTACGTGACACGATTTAATTACTCATAAGTTTAGCGTATTAATTAGATTGGCACAATTATAAACCGGAAGAAAATATATCACAATGAGAATGTAAATTTGTTTTGATTGTTGAAGTTTATGTAAATAATGATGATTCAATTTGGAATTGACTATATGAATAACTACTGATAACGTTTCTCAATTTTAATCTATCTCTAACATATTGTAGACTTGTTTAAGATATTTTGGTATGCTTCAAAATGATTTTAGAGTGACATAAATTACAAAAAGAAACCCTATGTCAATAATTCTCAACTTTGGACCATGTGTTTATAAATGATCTAAGGATCATGGTGGATGAGGGACTATAGTACTTGAAAGACAAGATTATCTGAATTGACTATGCCCTATTAACTAGTGTGGGGGGACTACATAATTAATTGGTCCTTTTCATCATTATAATTCACCAAAAGCACATGCCAATCACTTGCTTTTGTGGGCACAAATTTAATTCTGTTGGACCTTAGCCTTTTTCATATTTGTACATTTCTTTAGATTTTATTTTACTATACTAAGAATGGTTAACAAGTTTTCTATCTACTATTAGGAAAAAGAACTTACCTTATACCATAAAATTCTTAATGAATATTTTCATATTGTTGTTGTGTACAACCTCAACAATTAATGCAAGACAAGTTTATTTCAATTTTCAAATACCAAAGCACAACCCTAACCCCACAAGCCAAAAATCACCTTAATACATATTGTCTTTACCCTCTTTAATCCCCCCCCCCCCCCCCTCCTCACCCTTTCAAGCTATTGTACTTTGGTTTTTCTTATTCAAGATTACTCAGTAACCCTAAGAAATAGTAATAATTTTATCTATGTGAAAATTACAACAAATATATGCTTAATTAGTTTTTAAAAAGTGAGAGTTTTAGTTTTATCTGTACACTTGAAGTTGTATCGATTCGCTTTGAATCTGTTATATCTATTGGCTCTGATATTTAGAGAAAAAAATACACACTGGTTAGTAACCAAACTACAACTAAGATTGATAGTTAGGCTCAACTTAGCTTATTAGTTTATCAATCAATATACACAATTATGAGTTTTTTAAATTCTATTTAAACAACTTAGTTGATTAAAACAATAAAAGTTGCATTGTTGATATAAAACTAATTAAGAGTTTAAGTTTTAGATATAGTCATATCGATCTAAATAATAATATATAAAATTTTAAAATAAGACATGTTATCTGCTAGCCACGACATATAAAAATGACATAATAGTGTAAAAAAGAGTATACACTGACAAAATATAATATACATTGAAGTGTACATTGATTTCAGGATCTCATTCAAACACTTACTGACATTATTGTACAATAATGTGTGTGTATGTATATATATAGGTGGAAGTGAAAGAAAAAGAAGAAGAAGAAGACACAAGAAGAAATGAAGAAATGCAAGAAGAAGGAGAGAGAAAGAAAGTGAAATTTGGTGGGGGTTGTTTGTCATGGAAGAGTTTGTGGTTGAGAAGAAAAAGGCAAAGAGAGAAGCATAAACCAAGAAACAACAACATTTTTCTTTGCCATATAAATGGATGCTATAAACACTAAATTTTTTTTAAAAAAAACAAAAACAAAAAAAAACATGTCCTTGGGGATAGAAAGATTCTCTTTCCATCACACCTTTTCTCTATTATTAGATTCTAGTATATCTACCAAGGATCTATAAAACATGCATGTCTATTCTAATATCTTGTCATGAATAATTTTTTTTTATTATTATAGAGTTTTGAATTATCTTGATTCCTTTTATTTTTATTAAATATTTTGACTAAGAATGAGATATTCGTAGTCTTCGAGAATAATTATTTTTTTATTTTTACTGGTCGTAGAATGATATTGTATATATAATAACATGTCCAATAAAATTTCACAGACTAAATTTGGGTGGATCAGTACGGAGGACTTATCACTATATAGATTGTTCTCGAAAGATCTTCGGCTCAAGTGCAACAAATTTAAAAAATACAATGAAGAAAATATAACAATTAATAAGGAAAGAAAAGTTGTGCAAGACCTTGTAAGATCTAGAAAAGAACAATAATTAGTGCAGTAACCCAAATACAATAAACATATATAATGATGGATATCAAAGTAAGGATATACACCTACAACCTAAATCCTTGAAAATTAAGATAATATTTCATTACTTATTAACTTTCTGTCCTAATAAGTGATCTCCACTCCTTCTTATCTAAGGTCATGTCCTCATTAATATGAAATTGTTATGCCCTGTCTAGTCAACTCTCTCCAGTATTTTTTCGGCTTATCTCTACCTCTCCCCGTGGCTGTTATATCTACTCTCCCACACCTCCTCACATGGACATCTACACATCTCCTCTTTATACACCAAATCGTCTCAATTTCATTAAATTTTATTTTATTCATAATGGAGGTCACTATTATATATTATCATGGATAACCTCATTTCTAATTTTATTACTTTTAATATATCCATACATCCATATTAGCATCCACATTTTTGCACTAACATCCTCATAAGGGAGTACTTTTTTTTTTTATTAATAATACTAAAATTTTGAGATTAGAAAATAATATCTTGTTATTGTATTATTTAATCCAACGATTGTTTTTTTACATCTTAAAAATTAACAATCCAATTCATTTCTAGCCATTGATATAAGATTGGAGGGAGTTGTCCTATTCAAAATGTGAAGGGGTTATCATTTCCCAAAAACTCAAAATGTCAAGGGGTAAAAATGAATTTGTTTGATGAGAAATTAAGAAAGAGTTATTTATTAGAGAAAAACGATAAATCAAATGAAATTATAATATAACTTTTTATAGTTGAGTAACCTTTTAAATGTTTATTCCGATTAAAAAAAATTATAAGTGGAATCATGGATAGGAAGCAATTCAAGGATAATGGGGTCATATAGTGGGATCTTTTTCACTTTTTTTTCTGTTCTCTTTTGGTTTCCTTTTGCAGTATAATAGTCATGAATTGACGATAAATTGAACATCTTTTGTAGCGAGTAACTCTGTTTTCTGACAAAAGTTGGGTATGGTATCACGGGTGTGTATATGAACTATATATATGATATACACTCCATCCTATACTTATTTAGCATAGAGATGCAAACAATATATAATGCATCAATTTGTATATATTGTTGTATCCCAAACGTGCATGTCATCATACACTTGGAACTTTTTTCTTACATATATTTGCGGAAACATTATTGCATACATATAATATGATAACGAAAATAATACAAAGTACATATCAATTTTGGTGTATAATTTAAAGTCTTAAAATTCAATTGAGTTTCATATTCAAAACTCACTTACAAGTCAACTTGTGAATAAGGGTGTCAGATGTATTGGTTTGGATCCGTTATTGATTAAAATTAAATAATTTGATCGATTTTTAAATTATTAAATTGAACCAAATAAATATAATATACATTTATTAATTTAGTTGTTATCGATTTAAATTCGGATGTTAACCATACACAGATTAAAATAAAAGAAATGTATAAGATATCGATATTGTTGCACAAATAAAAGATGCATCATAATTTACTTTTTCATTAGCGGGCTGCATATTTCACATAAAAAATTATTCATGAAAATAATAGTATATAATTTGTTAGTTCGGTTATTCCTTTGACTTTTTAAACAAAACCAAAACAATTACTCTCGACTTTTAACAATGTTAAATTAAACCAAATTGATAATATTCTAAATTTTATATATGTGTGTGTGTGTATTTATATATATTAATTCTTTACTATCATTACACGACAAGATGTCGTTGTAGTATAGTGGTAAGTATTCCCGCCTGTCACGCGGGTGACCCGGGTTCGATCCCCGGCAATGGCGTATTTTTTTTCAAAAAACTTTTAGCGAATAGACGTTTATAGTTGATAAGAAATCCTTGAAATAAAAGGGGAGCCTTGACGTTAAGATAAAAGTTGTTGTCACAAGTATTTTTTCCAAAAAACTTTTTGTTAAATTTTAGCATAGGCGTTTCAAAGCTCGATAAAATAGACGTTTATAGTTGATAAGAAATCCTTGAAATAAAAGGAGGGAGCCTTGACGTTTAGATAAAAGTTGTTGTCACAAGTTTAAGAACGCGAAAATACTCTTTGGCAGTAAAGCAAGATAAGGTTAGAATACACGATCCAATGTGATCCTGCCCTCCCCGAGATCCCACATGTAGCAAGAGCTTAGTGCACAACTAATGTAACGAATAGAAGTCATATCATCTCTGTTTCTTTTATGCTAGCTATTCTTGCATTTTGGCGGTCCTGCTTGAATGTCCAATACAAGGGTGTATAAAATAAGCTACACAAGCCAAAAGGAATGGCCATCATTGAAAAGAGGCCTTTTGACAATGCTAAGGCCTCTTTTGCAGATCCTAACACTGGATCAACAGACTTGGTATCATAACCATATAGTTTCTCCGCGAGTATTCCTACAACTGGAGCTGCAAAGGAAGAAAACGAGACCTCAAAGGCGCGATCAAATGCATAAATCATGGTTCTGTGTTTTGAAGGCACAACTTCTGCAAACATGGGACCATTTGAAGCAGTAGAATTCCAGCTGATTGTTAGCCCCATAAGGAATAATGTCACAGCAAATGTGTAGTAGCTGCTCACAGACTGGGGCACAATTCGAAGAAGGATCCATGAGAATGGGATTCCCATAAAAGCACTAAATTGCGCACACATGATACGCCCTGAATGAGGGTACGCATGAGATATTCTATCTGCAACTACGCCACCAAAAAAGGATCCTATCGCACATCCTGCAGCAAATAGACTGACCAGTGCTGCTGCACTGTTGTGGTCAAAACCTGCATCATCATTTCACGTTTATATAATCGACTCAATGGACAGTCATGAACTTCAAGACATGAAATGCAGGGTACTCACCGATTAGTTCAAACCACAATGTAAAAAAAACCATGGCTGTCCATGGTAAGGACCCAACCAGACCTTGCAAAACAATGAACTGAAACGTTTTCACTTTCATGACAGCTTTCATTGCTGTCCATGACTCCGTCCAAATCGACATTGAATTGGTATTTACCTTCTCTACCAGTCCCTCCCTAAGACAGGATCACGAAAAGAGTTCAAACGAGGTTTAACTATAGCAAAGGAAATGAAGCTACAACAAGCAACACGGTACCTATCAGTACTGTTTTTCGTATTATCATGCTCTACGTTGGCTCTTTTTCTTGGATCAACAACAAACGTAAAGACAAGAAATGCAATAAAAATACTGAAAGTTGCCATCATGACGAATGCAAAGCGCCATCCAGGAACTCCCCAGAACTTATAACCAGCCATAACCGTAGCAATAGCTCCACCTCCTATCCCACCAACCGTTCCAACAAGACTAAGAAATCCAAAACCAGTTCCTCTGGACTCATCCGCATAGCTATCTGCTATAAAGGACTGAAGTGCAGGTATCACAATTGCGAGTCCAAATCCATTCACTGCCCTCCAAAATCCAACCTGCTTAAAGTAGTTACTAGCGCCGACTGCACCAGTTGATAGGGACCAGAACAGGATACCGATTGCAAGAACAGTGGGACGGTCATAGTTAATGACTAAAATACCTGCCACTGGCGATGCAATCCCCTGGACGAAATTTCTTATGAATGTAAGATAACCAAGATCAGATGGACCAGCCTTAAAAGTTTCACTGACTTCTTTGTAAACAGCTGGTAGGAGATTTTCGTCAGCACGCTCCATTATAGCTGCCATGTTGATGATGATTAGGGAAAGAGAAATCCCAAATACTCTCATTGTCCTGAAATGGATCGATAAACATTTTAAAATCGAAACACTGTGTGTCACAAGTAATATCTTATCATTTGATGATCAGCATAACAGAAATTTAAAACAGAAAATCCCTGTCAAACTTAACAAATTACTAATTCTCACGGGGAATCTAGTAGCTCAGTTAGTTAACTACGTAAAATTTCAACTTATTGGTGAGGGTTTTAATTCCGTACCTCGTAATCCCCTCTCTGTTTCTCCTCCCCTGCCCTCAATTTTACCGAAAAAAATTTGTCAATTTCTAATAGTAAGCCTGCATATTTCGATACAACAACTTTCATAGTAATATAACAGGGTCCTCTGAGGTGCATTAAAGAAAATGTAACTGAGTTGATTATTTGAAATTATTCGAAAACCCTTTGATTCACAAATTTGGAGTATCCTACTTTTAGACAATTCATAGTGTTCAACAAGCAATCGATATTCGCAGATAGTTGAATGAATAAATGATCAAACAGCATGAGGATAGTCTATATACCGTATAAATAATCAATGATACAGTAACCATTTTGAAAAAAAATAAAGAGTGAAGCTAACCTCATGGTGCTTGAGTTCTTGCAGAGTTTTGGATCCAAATATTGGAGGAGGAAATCCCAAAGAAGAGGTCAACGGTCTTCTTCCCCCATTCACTCACCATTGGATTCATAAACTTATACTCCCTCCCTCCGTTCGATATTATTTGTCTGTTACGTTTTTCAAAAATCAATTTGACTATTTTTTAATGTTTAATTATTAATTCGAATACATTACTATATGAAAAATACGATAAATTGCAATTTTTTTGCATATTAATATGATAAAAAAATACGTCTTAAAATGTTAGTCAAATTATTCATAGTTTGACTCTAAAAATAGAAACCATGACAATTAATACCAAACGGAGAGAGTATTAATATAATATGTATCAAAAAAACATTGTAACAAAAATAACTATTAACGATAATAAATATGTATATTAACAAAGAGTGTTAAGGATCTTTTGTTAGACATTAGTTGATTACTATGGATACAATATCGTTATAAATATTAGTGATAATTGCCACTAAAAATATATATTTAAGAATGATTGAACTTTTACGTTAATTAGTTATTCCTTAAAAATCATTTTAATCTAGTAATGCGGTCTTAAACCAAAGTCTTCAAATTAAAATGGAAAAGTAATTTTGAAATCGAAAGGGAGAAGTATTTGATAAAGTCGAGTAAACGCACGTGTTTGGGTTTGGTAGGGAACCATTTAACGTGAGAGCAGAGAAATTTCTTTAGGAAGATATGAATATTCAATATTAATCTAATGAATTATTATATATACTATAGTTTAATCAATAGCAACACGACATTACTTTGTTGAGTAATAAAAAAATCATCTATTTTTATTATTTTTATATTATATAAAAATATCGATTTTTACAGGCTGGATAATTGATGAATTTAAATATGATAAAATAATAATTTAAACCGTTGTCTGTCTTGTTAGGACGAACACTAGTAATATGAATAATATCATCTTATACAATAATGGTTCTTCGATCTATTGGGTTGATAGTAATTTATTTTTATAACTAATTTAGTGAAACGTGATTGAAGTTAAAACTATTTGATTTTGAACATACTTATATATAGTTAATGCTCTAGGTCTGCTCCTGTGGTGATAGTATATAGCTTTTTTTACACAATAAGTGAAAGATTTCTTACACTCAATGGATTTATATTTTATAAGTAGTTTCTTTTTATGTTATAGGATATAATACTGAAATTAAAATCACGAAATGTGTAAGGCTAAAATATGAGTATATTGTAGATCTCACTTACGAGATTACACTGAATATGTTACTATTGTGATTGAGTATATACAATTTATAATTTACAATTCAAACTGAGGGTCCGTCTGGATGAGCTTAATAAAAGCAGCTTTAAAAAAGTACTTTTGAAAGTGCTGAAACTTATTTTTAAAATAAGCAGTTATTTGTTTGGATAAAAGTGCTGAAGTTGCTATGCCAAACGTGAAAAGGGAAAAATGGAAGAAAGAGATGTTAGGGTTATGTTGGTAATTTGGAGATTGTATAAAAATATTAAGGACAAAAAGATAAAAATGTGGTCAACTTAAAATAGCTTATAAGCTAAAAAATAAAAAAGCACCTCTACCCCAGCTTTTAACTTTTAGCTTAAAATAAAAAAATTTTTAACTTAAAATAAGTTATTTTGACTATTGCCAAATTGCTAAATAAGTCAAAAATCAGCTTTTAAGTCAGTTTGACCAGCTTTTAAGCTGCGCCAAACAGGCTGTGAGATTTGAAACCCAAAACATGAGTTAATTTCACTAAACACTGACCAATCATGCATATGTTAACACTGATCTTTTAAGTATGATACAAATTTAATCCCAAGCTAAGCTATTTAGGCTTTTGGACCATCGGCAAATTTTGCAGATCAACCTAGCTACGGCCCATTGAAGTAATGTGGGCTGGCCAATTTTTAGCTTTTTGATTGAAAAAATAACTATTGTTACGTATTTTAAATTGGAAAAATTACATGAATAAATATATTATTAAAAATAATAACTCATTTTAGTGATTTTTTTTGTTTATTACTATTTATAACAATATTGTGATAGATTTGTAATATGTATTAAAAGTGGATTATGTATGCAATATATTTGAATTATAATTGTTTTTGAAATATATTATGTTTGTTTGGTAAAAAATTGTCACATTGTATTAAAATGTATTATAAATGTATTAAAATGTATGATAAATGTATTATCCATCATTAAAACTTGTATTATATTTGAATAATAAATTTATCTTTGTAATATGTATTAAACTTGTATTATAAATGAATTAAAAGTGGTCAAGTGAAAAAAATGTTATTGCTATAAATGGTAAATTTTTTTTTAATTATAATATACTTATGTAAGTTTCCCTTTTAAATTTGATAAGTGAAACTCTATAATAATGTTACTATTGTCAACCATCATTACACGTCGCCTATCATCAACCACCTCTGCCAACACAATCACCATCGTTGCTAATCATTATTATTAATTGTTACCACACTTACCTCCTCCATCATTATAAGTATATTCATTAGGCCATCACCTGACATGTCTCTATAGCTGTCACCAATACGGTCAATTCCTACTACCAACAAACTCCACAATCACAATTTGCAATGTCACAATCTACCATGATACATTCTTCGGTACCACCATCACTGACGCTATTTTTACTACTACTATCAACCACTACCACCATTCATCATTGTGGTCAATCACTATATCATCGCAACTAGCACTGTCACCAACTATCACAAACACATCCATCAACCACTACATACACCAACACAATCAACTATTAATGTATCAATCAACTTCAGAATTACAGCCACCAACACCATTAGAAATCGCCACCACTATGACAATCCAACACCATTAGGAATCGCCACCACTATGACAATTGCAACAATGCCAACCACATCCACCATCACAACTATTACCATCATCATTAATATTAGCCACTATTAACAACTATTACCATCAATATCATCACTATAAACAATCCCATTATCACTAGCAAGCATAAATATGATTTTTCAATCAAATAATGATTTATTTTATTTATTTATATTTAATTAATTTTTATTTGAATTGCATATTCATTATGTAAATATAAATAAATTACTTAGATTTAGACAAAAAACAACCAGTTTTAATCATTCAATGTCCATATCTAAATATAATTCTTAATCATTTAGATATGCATCTAGATTCATGCATCTAAATCTTAATGAAAATAAAGGAGACAATTAAGTATATTTAGTTGCACGATTATTATTCAAATGAGATTTTTTTTAAAAAAAATTAGCAATTGACTAGGCTTAAATTCTTTAATAACGTAAAAATAATTTGTGAAATATTATGATGTAAAATATAAACTTATGTCCCATAAAATAGTTGTTTGTGAAGAATTTTCTTACAAAAAATTAAATAAATTAAAAATCAGCAAATGACACTTACTTAATATGCGTCCTTTTTCCTAAATAAATAAAAGCGAAGAAATGTCAAAAATCGTGTGTACTTATATTATAAAGTAAAAGTCTTTGTATTAGTATTATTTATATTACCATCATTGACTATGAATATATCGACAAAATACACCCTTAGTGCACTATTATATATTCACTAATTTGATTATTTTCAAAGGTATAAAATTGAATAATAAGTGCAAAACAAGATTACAAAGAAATACTACTAAATTAGTAAGGATTTTTTTATATCCAACTGCCAATAGTAAGATCAATGCCCAAAGTTTTGCTTTGCATTTCAAGAAATTTAAATCCATTCATTTTCAGTTTTCATGTTTTTTTTAATCAGTTTAACTAATTTTTAAAATTTAAAATAAATTATATTAATTTAATTTTTTAAAAAAATTAAATATTTAAAAATTATATAAAAAAATCATAAGTTATAATTTTTTACATATTAATATATCGTTAAATTTTAATTAAATTCTTATCATTTTGATACTAAAAAAATTATAATAATTAAAAGTGGACAAAGTTTAGATAAGACCAATCGGCTAACTCCGTCAAAATGGCTTTAAAAATATCGCAATAATTTTATGTGGTCCACACGCAATGCTTAATCACACGTTTGTCAATAATTTTTAATTTGGGATTTGGAGTTATAATAATACTTTCTACTTTCTCCGTTCAGAAATGTTTATTATATTGCGCTTGTCGAAAGTCAATTTGATTAATTTATAAAGATAAATTAGATTACATTAATTCGATATTTTAAACAAAAAAAATAGATATTCTAAAACTATATGAAAAGTACTATAAATTACAATTTTTTACATATTTATATAATGAAAATATGCATCTTAAAATATTAGTCAAAATTTTCATTATTTAACTCTAAAAATAGAAATAATACTAAATAATACCGGACGACGGGAATAAAATACATTTTGATTCCATCCAGCAACAACCGCCAGCTTGCTTTGTTGCCCTCTCTCTAATTTTCTCATTAACACATCCAAAATCTATTTATACATAAAAAAACACATTAATATAAAATAATTATAATATATAATATTGTTTATCGAGAAAATTCGAAAAGACACTTCGTTTCACCCTATATCTACCTTTGAACATGTAGTACCCCTCTATTTCGTAATAATTTAAGTTTTGAGTTTTTTTTTTTAAAAATTAATTAAGGTTCCAATTTTCAACGCTATTCTTCCAATTTTACCCTGTAAGACTATTCATGCAATTTTACCCTTTAAGTTAGTAATGAAATTAGTTATTGTAATTAATTTTTATAACAATAAATAAGGATAAAAATAAAAAAATATGTTCAATTTATGACCTAATCTATTTTTAAAAAAAATGTAAAATACCTTTTAAAGTTTAAATTATTACAGAATGGAGGGAGTACTATCTTTTAGTAATACTTGAACTCAAACCTCTATCATCTAGTACTCACTCGAAAGAAGGGAACTTGTTCATCAGTCTATTTTTTTACCAAGAGATGGGCAAGATCGCAATGATTTTAGATCAAGTTCATTTAAACAATGTCAAAAGGCTTGAGTAGCGTCAAATAGACGTATTGGATTGAAATTATAGATATTAAAATGGGTTGAA